CGCTTGGATGGATGTGGTTGTTGGTCGCACTTGTGTGATGGTAACTCTACCAGATTGCCAATTGCTCATATTGTGTGCAATCAGACACCTCCAACTCAGGACAAGCCGAGTCTAATGACCATTCGTGAGGTATATATTCAGTATCTACCTTATATGCCATTGTTGTGGCTGTTGTTTTATAGTATTGAAAAAGAATAACACTGAATAAGTAGCAGTGCAAGATTTCATGAGTTTTATGGATGTTACTGTGAATTGAGTTACTTGCTGACTATTTGATGAACAAAATCAGGTTGAGGCAGTCTTCCATGAGTTTGGCCATGCGCTTCAACATATGCTGTAGAAATTCTAAGAGATTGTAACATATTTTTGTACAATATTGAGAACATTACCATAGCTAGAAGATTGAAATTAGGATGATTGTTTTCTCTCCTAATTTAGGAGATTCCTTTCCTTTTTCCCTCACCCTCGTTTATAAAATAACTTGTACTAGTAGTACTACAGTTATGAAATAATCAAGGAATTATCTTCCTGCTTTCATGGTATCAGAGCAAGGTTGGAGTTAATGACGGATGTCCCCGTTAATAACCAAAGCTCCACGACATCTGAATCTTCATACAACGAGGCAGAGAGTAATTCTACGATGGCCTTGACGGGATTAGATAATGCCTCCTTTCAACTCATGGTGGAGAAATTAAATGGAAGAAACTTCAAAGAATGGGCGCAATCAATAAAGCTGGTAATCGACGGTAAGGGAAAACTAGGGTACCTTACAGGAGAAACGCATAAACCAACAGATTCAGCCCTTTTGCAGAAGTGGAAATCCGAAAACTCAATGGTCACGGCGTGGTTAGTGAACTTCATGCATCCTTCAATTGGGAAAACATACTTATTCTTGCCAACCGTGAAGGACGTTTGGGATGATGCCAAGGAGATGTATTCGAACTCAAAAAATTCATCCCAAATCTTTGAAATCAAATCAAGATTATGTAGACAAAACAAGGAAAAAGAGATGTTACCAACTAATACTCAGAAATGATCTCTCTTTGGCAAGAACTCGATCTTGGAAAAAGATTGAGAATGCTCAAAAGATAGCGTAAAATACAAGAAAAGATTAGAAAACGAGCAAGTGTATGAGTTTCTCGCAGGTCTGAATCGCGACTTGGACAATGTAATAAATAATTATTTCACCATCTAAACATAAAAGAGAACACTAAATAATTTCTCTACACAAGTAAAATGATGACAAAATACATTGGTAACATCAAATTTAGGAAATTAAATACATTTTTGTTAATTAATCAAAGAGGAACTAACAGCATCATATATTTATATATATATGATGTGGAATGAGCATATATATAATAAAGACTAACCAGATAAAAGCGGGATCATTGCTCTCAACGGACAGGCTATTATCGACAGCTTTTGGAACGCCAAGAGACGCATTCTTGCCAACCGTGAAGGACGTTTGGGAAGATGCCAAGGAGATGTATTCGAACTCAGAAAATTTCTCTACACAAGTAAAATGATGACAAAATACATTGGTAACATCACATTTAGGAAATTAAATACATTTTTGTTAATTAATCAAAGAGGAACTAACAGCATCATATATATATATATATGATGTGGAATGAGCATATATGTAATAAAGACTAACCAGATAAAAGCGGGATCATTGCTCTCAACGGACAGGCTATTATCGACAGCTTTTGGAACGCCAAGAGACGCTGAACCGATGTTCATTATTGCCTTAACATGTTTGGCACACCAACCAGGGCCACCACCTCCTCTCATGGGTGGAGGTGAATTAACCTATTTAAGGAAGTGGAGAAAATAGATAACCCCCCATTGAATGAGGCACCATTACCACTTTTTTTTTTGGCCATTTGTTACATACATAAGCTCAATTTTGCTCTTCAATCTACTAAGTGTTTGGTCCCTTATCTGATCATGCCTCAATTATAAGTGTATTAGATAAAGCTCAAATCAATTCAAATTGTCTTATATATACCTAATTCTTAACATTGACAAAAAATAAAATAGGGAATGAACATTCAAATCTGATCTCTCGCGAGTATTGAACCACCTCGTCTTAAGGTTTAAAAGTGGCCCCATTTATTTAAATTTAGCATACTACTACTGGTATTTGCAAAATTAAACCATGAATGTGGCAAGTGAAGGGCCCTTAAACCTCTGTATTTTGAAAAGATAATCTCCAATCATAAGTAGCCATATACATATTCTTCCCCTCATAGCTAATGCATGCCAAATTCTCTATAAGAATAGCCCATACAAAATATCCAGGAGCAAAAGAGTCAGTCGCAACCAGTCCTGGGACGGCCCGAACTCGAGTCCTTGGTGGATCAAGCCCTGTTTCATTGTCCAGTGATAGATGCTCCAACCAACGCATAGGCCTAAAATTTCATCAAAACGCTCAATAGGTGTCAAAATCTTAATCAATATCCTAAAACTGAAACACAAAACAAAATCCAACTTTGCAATTCAAACCTCTTGAAAACCTCTGTAAAGCTACCGCTCCAAAGCTGCCTGCGAAAAAGGCCATCATAACAAGGCTTTCCCTCCCAAAGCTCCAGTCCTCCGATGACAATGTCAGGCACCAAAACAACGGGATGGAGCGAGGTCAGGCCTTCACGTTCAGCCTCGCTCTGGGCGGCTCGGGCACCTTAAGTCTAGGCAAATTACCGGGCAAACAATGAAATAGAAACAAGAGCAACCACCAGATGGTGCTCATGTACCCAATCATCCGACAGCATGAATCCATGCACCTCCATTCTTTGGGCTGTTTCTTCTGCTTCTTCCTTTTCAAGTTCTCTTCCAACACAGCAAAAACAGCACCTTGATTTTCAATCTCAACTTTGGGCGTCTCAATTGATTTCTTCTCATTAGTTTTTGATTGATCACATGAAGAATAATTGACGGGCTCAAGAAAGCAAGGCTTTCGAAAATGAAGAATATAAGCCATTGCAAATAATTATAGCTCAAGACTAACAATAATGATGATCCATCGATGAAAATATAACGATTTGAAACATGCAAAGTAGTTTAGTAGATATTTGGAGCTCAGTTGCTCAAGAATCAAAAGTATTTATCAATATAAACTCAGAAAGATGGACATGAAAAATTGTCGTGGAGCAAAAGATTATGGGGGTGTTGGCTGGAGGTACAGAGTGCTAAACCGCGTGATAGAGAATGAGATATGGAAGTGTCTGTACGCGTACCATAAAACAACACGAGACTTCTAAATTGAGTTTAAAATGAAAAGAAATTATAGTATCAATTTTCTTGAGCCATAATGATTCTAACAAAGATTTTTTCATTTAGAACATGTCTAAATTGCCTGCCTTTGTTAGTTATCACCACACTGTTGAGTGAGTTCCATTATGCTTTTTCTTTCGCAATTTTTACCTGTAAACGTCTCTCTCACTAAAATTTCCTTTGTCTGGAAGCATAAAATAGTCCTTAGAAACAGCGAAATGCGTAAAAATTCATC